TGCCCCCTTGGGGGGGGGGGGGAAGTTATTTCTACATTGTAACAATTTCAATAGATCCAATTAGTTTGACTTGCCAGCTTTAGTCTTTGGTGCTTCCTTTGCAACTTTTGGAGATTTTTGCACATTCGGCTCCACGTTCTCCACTTTGGCAGCTTTTTGCACAAGCGACTCCACTTTTGCAGCTCTTTGCACACTCGGCTCCACTTTTGCTTTGGACTCTTTACGCTTTGGTGCAAGCTTCAGATTTTTTTGGGGGAAAAAAAGCCATTGTTCATCAAGGGTGACGTGTTGTAACACCCTGCCCATCCCATTGAAAAACTTCTGGCTAAACCCCTGCGTCTGTTCAAAATTATTCATTAAATTTCTTTCGTTGAGCCAACCAAAAGAAATTCCATGGTTCACCACTAGAGGGCAAAAGTTAACCTTCCACCTCGTGTCATTTATTCAAAAGGATAAGCTCCAGATCGATGACGTAAGTCCCAGTCATTATTTCGACATTCATAATTGTATTTTACATTTGTTAGGCGGTGTGAAGTAAGATTTTTTGATCACAAAATTTCAACCTTGACTCAAGAAAAGGTTGCGAAAAACAGCGTTCCTGACTTTACCCGAAATTTGCCAACGACGCCTGTGGTGACGGTAGAGTTGGGAGGCCGAACCAAGGTGCCGTCCTCCAGGCCTTTCCTAAGGGCTCTGCGGACGAAGTACTTGAGGCGGATTTTGTCCACGGAAGGATACTTGCGCTTGATGAAGTTCTGGATGGCCTGTTTGGAGACCCCCTTTCTGGAGTCCAGCTCTTTGAGCGCCTCTACCACCATGACGCTCGTGCCCGGATGTAGGGCTATTTTACGCAGAGTCACCACACCTAAAAATCAAGAAAATGTTAAATCAGTATCAACCCCCCTCCCCCAACTGACGAAGAGCATCCATTTTGTTGCTTTTACCGGACTTTCTCGCCACTTTTGAGGGGACTGGCGAGTTTCTGGCGGCCGTCACTTCATTGAGAACAAACGTTCGCTTTTTAGGAGGCATACTTTCTTTTTCCAAGTAAACGTCAAATCCAAGAAGACACACACACACAAAAAAAAATGTAGACTTATAAAAAAGCAGCCCTTGGTGCAAATGGTGAGCAGCTCTGTCTTTTTAGCGAAGTCAGCAGGTGAGCGTCATCAAGCACCCGCTGCAAACAATTAACAATGAGGATGCTTCGGTACCACGTGACCCCAATACTCGAACACCTTATAATAAATATAAGCAAAATGATACAAATAAAACAAAGGAATATTTATCTGTTATCCAATCAAGATTTAACAAGTTTCCTCTTTTTTATTTGCTGCGGTATCAACTGGTGTCATTTATATGTGTTTCATTGTGTTGCTTATCGACCACTCACCAGAAACTCAAACACACTCACAAAAAGATGCACGTGTTTTGTCGAGAAAAAAAATATGTCTTTATTCATGATCGTTTTTATCAGACTTAAGATATTCATTTAACATTCTTTGAGCACACTGTTAAAACATGCATCTGCAGTGTGTCTGACTATGACAAAATGGCAGAATAAAGCAAGTTAAAGTGCTCTTATTTCTTGTTGATATTTTTACATGTTCCACATGGATAAAAGTAAAATATATAGTATGAGGAAAAATATATATGATAAGGAGTGTTTCAGCAACCTGTTGCCCAAACTACTTTCTGATCTGTTCTGCATTCTTTATTACATACAGCAAAAGTTGTCACAGCAAAGACAAATTTGTCCATTGCACAAATAACTTGTATCACCATAGTGAACTCTTTGTGGCATAATCTAGAAATACTGTACTTGCCAATATACCGCCTACAAGTTTGCTGCATGGACACATCTCAGTGTGAGTTACAATGTTGTTCTCACGAAAGCGCTTCCTGCAGAAATGCAAAGAAATTATTTGTGATTGGCCTTGTTTCCTACGTGTTTTTTTTTTTTTTTAGGTCTTTTGTTGTTAAATCCTTTCGGGGGTGCTGCAAACATCTGCTGCTGATGGTCACCTGCTGACACTCGCTGCTATGAAGAGGAGCAAAGATACTGTGAGAGGACTGCAGAGACGTGAAGCCGAACCGCACTCCATGGCATTTTCCTGAGTAAAACATGAAACATATGACATTGTATGAGGTACGCCATCACAGTTGTCTTAAGACCCAATACGGGAGCTGTATGATCTATTTTGCCTTTCATGTGGCATAAAAATACCTCAGGATGGAAAGGATGACATGATTCCGGCTTCTTTCTGTCTTTCTGAAATTTCAGTCTGTCACACTTCAGGGATTCGTTATGTTCAACGTAGTCAAGGTTACAATGTATTGGAAGTTGAACAATGAATCAAACTGAAATCGATGTCACAATGTGGTAAAATGCCATTTTGAAACTGCAGTCGCTGCAGTATGTGGAAAAAAAAATGCATTTCGGTTGGTCAGTAAATTATTATCTTTTTTTATTATTATCTGTTGTCTTCATAAGTTAGTTGCCAAGTCTAATTGAAGTAGCTAAATGACTAAAATATTTTTTTTTGCTTAAGTTGGGTAGAAAAATGTACGTGAAGAGGAAAAATAATCGCGATCGCAATATATTGTGTGTGTTCATGCTCACAAGCAAAGTTCTCCACATGTGTGGGGTTGGAAAGGATATACATGATCTCAACGGGATCCATCGTCACTGGTGGAGTATTGCTGCAGTCGCACGTGTTGTCCACGACAACCATGAAGAGATTGCTGCTGGGGATCTGCTGTATGACAAAGGATCTGCAGCCCCGAGACATGATATCATACACAGCATATAGTACCCGTGCCAAGAACAGCGGCATAGCGGTGGATCATTTGAGTCATTATGATTACGATCAAGATAGGAGTGTGGTACCTGACGCAGCCGTCACATTCCATGTTTCCGGTGGTCTCTTTAATGGTGCGTTCTGAGACAAAGGCGGGGTATTCTGTGTCACATGGCACCATCGTGGCCTTACCCCGAGATCTCTGAGCTGTCACAGAGCACAAAGAACTGAACATCAGAGATACGCACACAATCACTCGCAATATTGTATCCATAATCTGAATCACTTACATCTATTTTCATTAACATACAATAATATATAAAAACGCAATGATGGTTTATAGTTAAGCTGGAGTTCAATACTGTGTTGACACTGCGACAGGTTTTTATATTAAGCGATGGATATTGAAACACACTTGGTGGAGCAACATGGAAAAACAGAAAGCAATATGAGCTGGCATATATTTATCGTCTCTGATAACCAATTAATATTACGGAAGCTTCCTGAGGAATTGTTATTGTTTCCATGTACTGCATATCTGCATGCTGCATATTATGCTGTCCCAAATTCGCCGAGACGTGCACACCAAAAGGAGCAACGCGATGTCAATTAGAGTGGAAAAAAAAAAGTTCTTGTTCTGATATGCTGCCCCTCTTTCCAGCAGCGGATTAAGGGAATCAAAGTTGGGGTACCTAATTGTAGCCAAGATTTAGACAATCAATTAGCTATTGGTACCTTTGACCGAAAGATCGACATTCCACCAGCTGTACAGGTTGAATTCCAGCAGAAAACTGAAAAGAAAAACACAAGCGTACCTTTTATATGTTGAACATACGTTAGCATATTTTGTTCTGAACACGTGTCTTGGGTTATGACTGATGCAGATGATCAGCGGCCACAGCTTTTACACCTGCACATTTGAATGAAATATACTTCACGAGCTACAGTCCATCAAATATTCAGCTTTTACAAATAGAATTTTTTTTTTACCCTTTTAAACTTCTGTACGTACATTTGAGGGACAACATATGTGAACATTCAAATAAGTCTTAAATTGATTCGTTTCTATCTCAAATTGATCTCTTCTGATTGTGCAGGTGTACCTAATGTTGTGGCCACTGAGCGTATTGCGCCATCTCTTCACTTAAAGGCAACCCCGGGTCCATCTTACAACTTGATATCGTGCCCGTGCTCAGTGTTCCCGCTGAGAATTCTTCACTAAAGGAGCTTTTGAGGACACATTCTATATTTAATCCTTACATGACAAGTTCGGTCAGGATCCACTTGACAACACTGAAAGGCTGCAAGACAAAAACATCATGATCAAGTCCTCGCAGTGAATACGTAACTTCTTTATACGGACTTGTTTCATTTTCCATATCGCGCTTACATCCGACAAAGTGCGGGCACTGTCGCTACTCCCGGCGTACTCTCTGCAGAGGGCCTGGTAGTCGTAGAGGGTGATCCTGCAGCCATATAAGCGAAGAAGTTACAGTGCAACCGCGGCATACATTTTACGCCACAGCATCAAACATACGCGATGCGATTCATGCTAGTTTAGGCGTGAGACCTTTTGAACGAGCCCATTTGGAGGAGTTTGTTCATGACGGCACTTTCCACCTCGCCAAAGAAGAGCCCTGTCTGGGAGACGGGTTTCACAGTCCACAAATAAGGAATTGCACAAGTACAGCTGAACCTCGCTGAGTATAAGCAGAAGTAACAAGATCTGGAGATCGCAGTTATGTCGAAGTTCACCGTGATATACCGCGAGCGATTTCTTATATTTTTTTGGTTCAGCACTTGTGGATGTCATCAGTTTTGTGTTTGACTGCTGAGTTGTGCTCGGACCATGTGATGACCAGTGAGCTACTTTTCAAACGGTACCTGAGATAGCTCCTCCGTGACAAGAATGAAGCCGTTGTTGTCAATGAGGTAGCAGTTGATGTCCTGCCAAAAGAGACTCTTTCAGCAAATCGGGCAAGACTTCGTCTGTATCAGATTGGGGTGATTCTTCTTACCTCGCTTTCGCAGCTTATGCTGCATTTTCCATCCAGAGCTGTACACTGAGCACACAACAGAGATTCACAGGACACATATAATGAGTGCAGTAATTCGCAAACACTTCGTCACAGCACACGATCATCGGGTGGAACACAGGTCTGACAATTATTTATTTTACAACACATAATGAATCTTTGTTCATCTATCTGCAATGTGACAGGGCCAAAAATGAAATCTTCTTCCACTAGATGGCAGAAGAAACGTTTGATTAGGACGTGTCTCCACATAATGCCATTCATACAACAGATTAGGTCATGGCCCCCTTCAAATGTTAAACACTAAATCAACCCATGAGGAATATATATTTTAAATTATATTTTTTTTGTCAGATTTTTGCTTTGGTGGTGCACCATGAGATTTTTCAAATGTAAAATACAGTACATGCCATGGCTCAAAAAAGGTTTGGGGGAACCAAATGAGTACATGAACAGAGACTGTAGTTTGTTCAAGTACCTGTCTACAGGCGGTCCAAAACTTCCTCTGAAAGAACTCGAGCTTCATCTGAAGCCCCACAGCTGAATACAAAAATCGAGTTCCAGCATTTTTCACCGCTCTACCCCACCACCCCCCCACCTCAAAAAAAAGATCACATGATGTCACTGATGACATGGGAAATGATCATTACCTGCGACGATTGGTGATTTTCTGTCGTCAAGGAGCTGGATTGCTGTGCTTGCCAAAACAACACTTTTATTCTCCAAAGCTGGGAAGGAGGTGAAGGACAATGAATACATATTACAGTACTGTAACGATCGCACAGATTAACAGAAGTTTTATTTTCTCCACTAGATGGCGCCATTTCCACAGCCGCATTGCACAGTTTGACGGCCCAAGTATGAGATCATTGCTAACCAGGTGAGTTTGGCCATTCTGAAACAACAATGTGACTGAACAAACAGGTTGTAGGTAAAAAAGTAAATCGAGGTATAAATGTATGCACAAATGCTTATCGGTGACAAATGTGTATATTTAACTTTGGGCCTGTACCTGTATATGTGTATACATTTTAGACTGTAATAATTTATCCTAGGTAATTGTGAAGAGATAGGAAGGTTTTTTTTTTTGCTTTTGTACTGGATGTTCAAAATGAATTTCAATAAAGATGGAGGACAACATTGTGGAACAAGTGGTTGGCACTTCTGCCTAACGGTTCTTGGTATGAATCCCTGGGTCTTTTCTACCCGCATTATAAAAACAAGCATTTTACATGAATTGAATGATCCAAAGTGCCGATAGGTTTGAAGTCTGAGTGTGAATGTTTGTCTATACTGTACATGCCCTGCGACTGACTGACAACCAGT